TTTTTGTTTTTTTTTAACAAAGTACTCTCTGTACTTTGATGTTGCAACACCACACAAGAGTTGGGATGGTTTCAGAAAGGACAGGGAATAAGAGGCTGTGTGCCAGATCAACAGAGTATTAGCATTTTCAACAAAAAATCCCCAAAGATGYAGAAAGTCCCAAAAAGCAAATGTGAAGAACTTGCCAAAGGATAACCAGAGATGCTGTGCAGAGTGGGTGGGGAAGGGCAGGCAGGTTAGCAGCTCTTAGGACAAGAATGTTTGTTCTCTGTCATAAATGCCTTGGGGCTAGAAGAGTCATGAGATATAACAAAAGTGGTAACCACTGAACATAGTCTATTATTTTGTCCTCCCTTTCTTGATGAAATTTACATTTAGCCTATGCAATACTGAGAGGAAGGACTGTGTCTAAGCAAGGTATTGCAATGCTAATATACTGTGCTGGGAATATACGTTCAAAATGCAAAACCATGTAATTTTACTGATTTTTTTAAAAAGCAACAAAAAAAAAATAGTATCTTTAAATTTATTTCAAATATTGGCTGTATCCATATATGCAATAAATCCTGATTGACACAATGACAATTTGCTGTACCACTGTCACCACCAATCAGGTTGCTGCAATTATTACAGAGATAAAAACAGACGACACCTCCAAAGATGCTTTTTTAAAAAGAAAACATACTTTTAAAAAYAAAGTACTGATGCTGACACTGAACYCATGATAAATTYCTTATTTAAAGAAGTCTTTCAGCAAAATCTGACAARTCCAGATGACTGGCACTTTGCAAGATCATGGGTAGGTAGATCAGATTTTTCCAGCTGAGAGCAAATCAAAGTATGCAATGCCATGAGAGCAAAGATGTGGACTGTATTTAAGTTAACAGACCATCTGACAGCTTGGGGACTTTCCCTGTGTTTTTTATTAAGAGGCATGAACACAGAATATGGGCTTTGCTGATAAGAAAATGAACTGTCAGGCACTTCCACAGACAAGACAGGAAAGCAGCGATTGAACACAGCTGAAATTATCAAATCATAGAATCGTTTAGGTGGGAAAAGAARTCTGAGATCATTGGGTCCAACCATTATCCCAGCACCATCAAGTCAATTACTAACTCCTGTCCCCTAATGCCACATCCCACAAGCTTTTTGAATTCTTCCAGGAACAGTGACTCTCCCACTTCCCTGGGCAGCCTATTTCAATGTTTGACCACCCTTGCAGTGAAAAMAATTTCCCTTATGTCCAACCTGAACCTCCCCTGGCACAACTTGAGGCTATATCCTCTTGTTCTGTCACTTTTTAGGTGGGAGAAGAGGCTGACCCCACCTGGCTGCACCCTCCTTTCAGGAGGTCCCCCTGAGCCTTCTTTCCTCCAGGCCAAACACCCCCAGCTCCCTCAGCTGCTCCTCACAGCACTTGTGCTCCAGACCCTTCCCCAGCTCCGCTGCCCTTCTCTGGACACGCTCCAGCCCCTCAATGTCTTTCCAGCACTGAGGGGCCCAGAACTGAACACAGGATTTGAGGTGTGGCCTCTCCAGTGCTGAGTACAGGGGGACGGTCACTGCCCTGGTCCTGCTGGCCACACCATGGCTGATCCAGGCCAGGATGCCATTGGCCTTCTTGGCCACCTGGGCACACAGCATGGTTCACGTTCAGCTGCTGTTGACCAGCACCCCATGGTGCTTTTCTCTGAGGCAGCTTTCCAGCCACTGCCCCCAGCCTGTGGCACTGCCAGGGGTTGTTGTGACCCAAGGGCAGGACCCTGCCCTTGTTGAACCTCACACAACTGGTCTCAGACCCAGACTGCCCAGATCCCTCTGCAGAGCTACTTTAATAGCTGATCACAGAGCTGATACTCAAAGCTCTCTGTCCCACTGCCACTTAACAGTTTTATTTTCATCAAAGTACAAGGGAATTGAAAAGAATCTGGAAGTTAGGCCAKTTCTGGTGACCAGAGTAGATGGAAGACAGCCCTTTGTTCTGAAAATAGCTGCTGTTTATTCATCACATGGTCAGGTCCTCAAAGCTGAGGAACTAATGAATTAATGAGGACAGTTCAAAAAAATTCTGTTCAGGACACTTTATTGGTTCTTTTTTTGATGGGATCAGTAGCTGTAAGAAAATATGGATATGACAAGTCCAGAATGCTCAAAAGAGGTTTTTTTCTTTTTCTTTTTTGTTGGTTTTTTTTTGGTGAGGGTGAAAAAGAGCAACCTTGTAGTTTTCAAATGAAAGGATCAATGTCTGTCACTTCTCACCAAATTGCAGTGCCTCAGCTATTCAGATCACTGCCTCACGAAGAGCAGTGATCCCATCAAACACTTAGTAAATTATTGCCACAAAACTATTAAAACAATTAAAATAAAATCCAGACAGATTATACTGCTTCTGAGCTGGATTTKGTGCTTATAGGTAATATCAAAAAAAGTTCAACAGGGCATTTTCTGAGCAGAGAACCCGACAGGAGCACACCAGTATGCTGGATGACATTTCACTTTGTAGATATACCTGAGCATCTGAGTTTCAAGGTGAGCTGTCTGTAGCCACTGCACAACTTTCCTTGGGGGCAGTAATGCAGGAAATACATGAAGAAAATGCTTAAATATGTTTCTTTGCCAGCAACCTTRCTCATTGATCATGCATTGAATATGGATGGCAGCTTCTGAAATCCTCTTTCAATGACAGAGCAAAGCCATGACAAAAACCAGGATCTGGAAGCTGAAGCCAGAAAGACCTGAAGTGGAAATAGGGCACACTTGTTTAAGCCAGGCCCACCATCACCTGGACAGCCCTCCAAGGAGCTGCAGGGTTTCCAGCCTGTTTGAGGACTGCCTTTCCAGGAGGTGTATGGTGCCAGTTTGGGTTGCACTCTGGGGGCAGCAGGTGCTCTCCAGGGGCTGTGGAGGCCAGGGCTGACAGCCCCACCACCTCAGCAGAAATGTAAGAACACGTCAGCATCAGGGGCTGAGGAGAGCAGGGTGGCAATGACTKACAGGAAGAGGACCCTGATGGAGATAACCTGCTCATCCTGATCCGTATGTGGCATGTTTCCAGCAGAAGCTGCAATAAAGCAGGGAGTCCAGGGAATGATTCACCTGAAACACCCATCTCTGGGGTCTAGGAAAGGAGCCCAAAGCTTGGACTCACAGGGTTAGATGAGCAGAGCCAGGTGAGGTGAACCCTCCCTTGGCATTTGTTGATGATCCTAGCCAGGTACCACTGACCCTTGAAGCCAGGCACCATTTAGCCATGGCAATCYATGATGGCTCATCTCTGTTTTATTAAAAAGCAAAGAGTGATAGCAAGCCCAGTCAAAACATTAAAAAATCCCCACAGGTATTTTTGACTTATCATTTGCTTACTAGTAACAACAGCAAAATTGKTTTTTATATTCTTGACCAGCATTTTGATCACCAATACAAAAATGAAGCCTCACTCAAAAATCAGCTTTTTTCTTCTTYCTGATTAGCTTAAGAAGGCTACAGAAAATCAATAACATGTCTATGGCTTACCCAGTATCTAATTAGCATCTTATTCTTGTGACAGAGAATGGCAAACAACTCTGGATGCTA